TAATTAATGCCAAGGCTAGAGGTTAAAATAACAAAGAGAAAAAAAAAAAAAAAAAGTAGGTGGGGTGGTAAATTAAAAAAGGAAGAGAGAAAGGAAGACTTTTCTGGAAGGAATTAAAATTATGGCATCATGGCAATGGCTAACTTAATTAAAAAGAAAAACATATATTCAAAGAATGAGGGAGATCTACCAAGCTGCCAAAACAGAACTCTGTTCCTAATTGAATTTAACAATAACATGATAAAATTCAAATGTAATTAAGAAAATGATAAAAAGGAAAGGGAATAAAAGGGATGAAAGTACTCATAAATTTTATTATCTACACAACTGATTTGTTTTTCTTAAAAAATAGGCATAAATGGAGAAATGAATATGAGGAGAAATATATTTTAATAATATCCTCATGAAATTGCAAAGATAGGGAGAAGGTTAGACTTTGACATATCCAAACCCGCATTTCTATTCTCTTCACCTCACCCGTCACCTGCTCCACACACTTCCTGCCCAACTACTTAAGAAGCACCTTGCCAGCAGGCACTCTCTCCCCTCAACCATTACCTGCCGGAGGTTGCGTGTCACTTTGACATCATGCCAGGCGTTGTCGTTGAACTTGCCATTCACGGGCTCCACAATGGCCTCAAAGGCCCCAGACCCCAGATTAATGACCAAGGAGACCGCGCCATCCTTCAGAGCCAGGTTGACATAGTCAGCAGACTTGCCCGTGTGCAGGATGAGCCCGTTACGCTGCCAGGTCTTAAAGGACAGGGTGATCTCATCACTGCTGCTCTGGATTGGGTTTTGAGACAGGTCATAGCACAGGTACTCTGAGCCCCGGAAAGTGGCCACATTCTCCTCTCGAGCTGTAAGAAAAGCAAAGAGGAAAGTGGTCAATACTTGGCTGTCTTGAGTCAGATCCATGCAAATACCTAGTGAACATGCTCCAAGGGCACTCTCTCTCCAACTCTTCCACCAGCATATATCTAAATACAAAGGGAGAATAGCAGAGAAGGGGACCACAGAGAAGCTATTTGTTGGCACAAGGATTGAAGACAAACAAGATTGTGCAGTAGAGCTTGCTGCCTTTCCTTCAAATTTCCTCAGAGAAAACCATTAAGGGTAATTTCATAGAAAATGGTGAAGTGAGGTATACATTGCTCCAGCTGCAGTGATTGCTTTTAAAAGCTTGTAGAAGAGCTGCTTTGGAATGGATAATTAACTGGTCTGACAAAGGGCTCTTTAGTGCTAGGTACTTTTTATTGACCAATAACTAAAAATCAATTACCCTGAAAGATTTGGCTCTGATTTCCATCCATCAATAACCTAGCTAACTTTGGTTTCTCTGGTAAAGTCCTGAGCCCAATGGAGCGTGACTAGGTTATCTGATAGGAAATTAGACCTGAGAAGATGATCAAGCCAGTTAGGAAAGAGGAACAGGAATGTTTTGACCACCCAGAAATACTACTCCTAGACTCAAGCAAGGTCCCCTGTTTTAGATGACTCTGCTCTGACTCACCTGCGACCACCTGCTTCCCCAAAGAACTAGGAGTTCACAGAGCCAAGGTGGCAGCCACCTGGAGCCCATATTCCCTCTCATGACTATATTCCAGATACTGAGGGTCCTATTAGTCCCTTTCCAAAGACACCCAAAACTGTTTCCATGGCCTGTGTGTTCCTTTTTTTCTGGATTATTTCTGAAGACAAACCATGCTGTCAGTGTGCATATCCTGTTGAAGCCCAAGAGGAAGTTAGAAGGGCCTGTTTTCAGGGCTATAGACAGAGTTGGTCATGTGGTCATGTGAGATGGTACACTCAATTGCATTTATACAAGGCCCCTTATGATATATGATGGAGTCAAAGGTGGGAAGAGAAATAGGGCAGGTTATAGGCTGAGGACCAGGAAGCTGATTCACCTTGTGCCACCATTTTCCAAAGCTGAACTCAGAAAACTCCAAAAACTCTAAATTTTAACCTGACTTTCCAAGTAATTATAAAAATACATTTTATGTAATCATTCGTTGATTTGATTTGCAATTCTGACACACAGCCTGACTTAGACTGACCAATTTCATATCAACGTTGGTCAAAACACACTTTATTAATGAAAGAAAATTGCCAACGATACAAGTTTACAAATATATTTTCTCTCTAAAGAACTAGGGGCTAAAAAAATGAGGTTGAGAGAAGTCTATTTCCCCTGCCAGAAATACACTCCTGTCTTATTAACCAAAGCCAAATCCATCTCATCTCAGTTCTTTATCACTCATCACAGCTCTAGGTAAATCACTTAAGTAAAATAAAATATTCTTTCATCATGAGATAAGAGCCATAAAGGAGTCTCTGTCATAATGTAAAGAGATGACCTCTCAGTACATACTGTTAACTTAATCATAGCATTAAGATGTCATTAAAGCATGAACCTTAACTTCACACTTCAGACCATTATAGAAGAAAATTAATTTCTCTCATGTGTTCCAGAGGGCCTCAATCATATATGCCTACCTATAAATGCATATTTCTTTTTGCACACACACAGATCCAAGCAAAAAGGACCTGTCTACTTCTAAGTGGCCGCAGGGTAGCTTACACATATATGTTCCAAATACTACTCAGAGCATAACTCATGCATTTGACCAAAAATAGTCAAAAAATTACCACAGAACAGAAATTTGATACTGTCTGCATGTTTGAAATAGATCCAACCAAGTCCCTAGTGCACTGTCAATATCCATGACCTCTCCATTCATTTCTTAGGAAGTGACTTGGTTAAAATGCAATTGGCCAAGCTCCTACTCTGTAGACTGGGGGTGACCCTGATCTAGAGTAGAAGATGACAAATCAAATGCAGTTATCACGATTAAGCTCTTTCCCATAGACCTGGATGTGCACAGACCCAAATACTGTGTGTGTCCTTGGTGCCGCACATGATATATTAATAGATGTCTTCTATAAACATTTAAGTTACACCTTGTGTGCCCACTGAACTGAGATAAATGAGCAAGGAAAAAGTGCCTCTTAAGAGAAACTTAAATTAATCACTAAATACTCTTCAAAAGGGGAAAGTGTGACACAGAGCAGCAAGGCACCAGAACATTATTTAATGTACTATGTGGTGCTTAATATTTTTCATACAATTAGATCAAAGTGTCCATCAAATCAATAAATTTCAGAACTATAAGAAATTTTAAATTTTGCCTATCTCAGTGCACTTATCTTATTAAGGAAGAAACTTGCCCGAGATGACAAAGTTAGTTTGTGGCACTGCCTAGCAGCCTCTGGATTTTCCCCTAAGTATCAGTTGCCTTCCCTTCTCCTGGAGTCCCTGGGTGATGAAAATGGTTAACATGATTGGCTTCTAACAAAAGGATGGAGGTACGAGCATACCCAGAGGCACCTCAGAAGAAAAGCTTGTTGATTTACTTTCAATAATGCATCCACAGGAAACCTTGGTACTGGTGCCCTGTGCCCAGCACTCTGGGTATACCACATGCTCCTGCTCTACTCCTCAAAGGCCACAAATGATTCTGTGGAGCCATGCATTGACTCACAGACTATCCCAAACCTTGGGTAAATCAACTCAGGAACCTATTACCCATGGCTTATGAATATCACTCTTGCTTACCAAAACAAATGTGTCTCTTTTTCCCTGGAATCTGAATGTGTTTAAAACCAAACAATTCTTTTGTGTGTGGAAAGTCAGAGAAAATAGGACATTGGTGAAAAGAAGAGAATACCACAATAAATAAATAAGTAGAACCAATGTCAGAAAAAAGGTCTATGTAAATTTGATACATATTTATGCTAATCTTCATGCAAATATACCAGGCAAGATTTTATGTATCTGAGTGCTTTTGTTTGCAAGTATCTAATGAAAACTGTCCCAACAGTTCACAATCTTCCCAATCTTCATTCAAGGATGAATTTTCCCCCTGGACCAGCAGAGGCTACTAAGAACAGCATCATCCCAACTGCTGCTTATCTCCTTCCTACATCAACCAACATCACACAACTGAAAGTAACTCTCTGAAACATATCCTAGATAAACAAAGTTATTTTCTTTTCAATTCATGATGTAATTTCCTCTTGACTGAGTGGGTGGGTGGGGGCACTGGCAATGCATGAACCAGTATTTAACCTGTTGCAGTAGAGTGGATTCCAATTAATGATGACTCTGTGTTTCAACACAATCAACACCAATGGAAGCAGCAGTCAAGACATCAGATGACATAGTGCATTGGACAAACTGGGTGCAAAAGACCTCTTTCAAATGCTGAAGAGCAAAGATGTCTCTTTGAAGACTAAGGTGCACCTAACTCAAGCCATAGTATTTTCAATGGCCTCACATGCACGTGAAAGGTGGACAATGAACAAAGAAGACCAAAGAAGAGTTGGTGCTTTTTGAGTTGTGGTTTTGGAGAAGAATACTCAAAGTACTGTGGACTGTGAGAAGAACTTACAAATCTGTCCTGGAAGAAGTGCAGCCAGAATGTTCCTTGGAAGTGAGAAGGGCCAGACTTCACCTCACATTCTTTGGTCATGTTGTCAGAATGGACCGTTACCTGGAGAAGGATATCATGCTTGGTAAAGTGGAAGGTCAGCGAAAAAGGGGAAGGCCCTCAACAAGATGGATTGACACAGAGGCTGCAGCAATGGGCTCAGGTAAAACAAAGACTGTGAGGTTGGCACAGGATGGGGCAGTGTTTTGTTCTGTTGTACATGGGGTCACTATGAGTTGGCTCCGTTGTGATGGCACCTAACAACAACAACTATGTGTTTCAGAATAGAATTGCACTCCATAGGGTTTACAATGGCTGTGATTTTTTTTTTTTGCAAGTAGATTGCCAAGTCCTTCTTCTGAGGGACCATTGAGTGGACTAGAATCAATAACCTTTGCATTAGCAGCCTAGTGCATTAACTATTTATACCATCCCGGAACTGACTGGCTCTGTAAAAATGCAAATAAGGAGCTAAAAAGGAGAAAGTGTGAGGACAGTGAAGAACTTGTTCCTTTGTAAACTCCAATAGCTGATATTTTTCACCTAAGACCCCCACCCTATCTTACTTTCCTTCCAGTAGCTGAGACTCAAGCACTTTCGTATTACCTTGAAAACCATACCGAATTGACAGTGAATGTAACCAAAAGGAGAAAAAACAAAAAGTGACAGTCATACATTTCTAAGCCCATTCAATTCTCCAAACCTCCATTAGAAAAATGTAGTATTACCCCAAATCTTTCTTATAGCCTTAGTGATTACACTGAGAAGGAGGTTGAAGAGACAATGCAGTCACCTTGTATGTGCTGAAGCAAAATAGGTGGCGAAAATCAATGCAGGGAATTATATAACACAGTACACAACTGCTTAGCATAAAGCTACAGCTTGGCAAGAAAGTAGGCACTGACATAGCTAATGGACTGTTTAGTTCCATTTAAATTATATCACCCCAAAGTTTGCAATCAATTGCATAAGTGTTAAAAATAAAAATGTTATTCTCACTGCATGAAAAGCAGAGCTCAACTCTGTACGACAACAAATTGTCTACCCATTATTTGTAAGTGTCCAATTGATTAAACACTAGATGCAACATGGATATGTATAACTCAAGATTTTAAATCAATTTGCATAAGATATGTAAAGTATTGATCTTTCAAATGGCTTGTTAATTCAAATACTGATATATACATAGTATTAACAAGCACTTACTCAATTCTGTTCTCTAATCCTCCCAAAAAAGAAGATAACCAGTGATTTATATAGTAATAATTCTGTTTCTTCTGAAAAATATCAGTGGATTAAAAGATCCAGTGTAGTGTTTTCTTAATATTTAACCTAAGAAATGTGGGCAAATGAACATCTTT